TGTTATTCAGCACCAGGTGCAGGTACTCCCATTGTTATTCAGCACCAGGTGCAGGTACTCCCATTGTTATTCAGCACCAGGTGCAGGTACTCCCATTGTTATTCAGTACCAGGTGCAGGTACTCCCTTTGTTATTCAGTACCAGGTGCCGATACTGCCCTTGTTATTCAGTATCAGGTGCCGACACTACCCTTGTTATTCAGTACCAGCAGATATTGAGAGGTTCTCTAAAGAGAAAAACAAAGAGGTACCGTGTACCGGTGAGTATTGACCCACTTCAAGCACTGGTACCTCTGTAATCATAGCTGTTTCTATCGTGCTCATTCAGTGCTTCAGCAGTAACAGTACTCATTCCATTATCCGTCCATCCATTTTCTATAACCGCTTATCCCAGGGCTGCCCAACCCTGCTCCTGGAGATCTATAACCCTGCAGAGGTACAGCCCTAATTTAACACACCTGCTACAGATAATCAGGCCCTTCAGTAGCATCTCAGCATTAAATTAGGGCTACACTTAAAACTCTGCAGGACAGTACATCTCCAGGAGCAGGGTTGGGCAGCCCTGGTATATCCTATTCAGGGTCACGGGGGGATCCGGAGCCTATGGGTGCAAGGTAGGGAACAACCCAGGATGGGGCGCCAACCCATCACAGGGCACGCTCACACAGCATTCACCCGCACATGCACACCTATGGGCAATTTGGCATGTTTTAGGGTGGAAACCGGAGTACCCGGAGGAAATTCCATAACAACACACAGAGAACATGCAAACTACACACATGGAGCCATGATAGAGACTCAAATGCTGATCCCAGAGGTGTGAGGCAACAGTGCTAACCACTGTGCAAACCGCCATTCCATTGTCATTTAATAGTATTTGGTCCGTGAGTACTTAAGTACTCCTCTGATCATAGCTGCCTCCTCAATATTCATTCTGTACTCTGGTATTTACCACTGGCCTTTCAGTACCCATCCATTTTCACTTCTGCTCTTGCTTAATAAACAAACTATTTAAAAAAAAACTGCTTTGAAACATGTCCAACTAACAGAGGAGAACTGAGCAGTGCTGACATGCTCACAAACACCTTCGGGAATAACAGAAAAAGCAAAGGCGTGTAAGGAATACAGCAATATTTTTCCCCACTAAAACACATTGTGAAATGAATACTGACAGAATACATGGAAACACATCATAGGAAATACATCGGTATGTCCACAACATTCAAAATGAGCCCGTATAACCAACGCCAAAGTGTCCCTTGAGAGAAGGACAATGCCTTTGTGAGCACTAACAAGGATCAGAAAGATACTGGGAAGGAATATACAGTGATTTGTCGGGAAAACAGAATTAGCTACGATGGCTGCTGTGACTCTCCACGGCCTGTCTACGGCGTTCTGTATTTATAGACAGGACTCAACATTCATGGCGTCCCAACATCATCAAAGATGTGGTCTACAGCACTAAAAACACGCTTCCTCAAATAGCACTGTAAGGTGCCCTTCTGGTCTCCCTGTCATATACCGCACCATATAGGCTTCCTCCCTCGTGTAGAGTCTGCCTCCCTCGTGTAGAGTCTGCCTCCCTCGTGTAGAGTCTGTGGCGCCATTTGGGCCGTATTGTCGTACATCCTCTTCGCCTGGACTGAATGTGGTGCAAAACATACTCCTTCACATGAAATCGGCTTGAAAGATACTTGACCAGACGCTTTCCCTCAATAAAACACAACTGAGTTTCATCCGTTCTACGCACACGTCCGCAAACTACGAAAGAGGGACCCGGGAACAGGAACCTTGAAATGCAGTGAGGTTCAGCACCTGCTCTCCTCGACTGACTTGTTCAGTGAAAAGCACACTCGAATAATTAAAATCAGATATCTGTACAAATTCCTATAAAAGTGTCATATTTAAAATAGACCAAAAATATATGTGCTATACTCCCAAAATCTGTTCCCAGGAAAACAGAATCTGGCTGTTCAATCTCATGTAGTCTGTATGACTAAGTGTTCTTCACCACTGGCTAGACAAGGAATTCACAGTTAGACTGATATAAACAGCTCTGTTTTTCTCATCTGAATCAAAGAGCTATGGCTGTAGTTGCTGTTGACAGGAAAGTCTGGCAGCATGATCCAGACGGTTATCTATATTCTATTGCTGTAATAATGTTGCTCTGTGAATAAGGCTGCGGAGCACGCTTCCTTTATGAGGACAGGAAAAATCATTTAGCCATTTATGCGCTTGTTGGATTTAGGCCGAGTTAGAATTTTTTTTCCATGTAACATTCCAGAATGCTGGACATCTCTGTGTCTAATGAACACACACTACCCCCGTGTGGTAGAGACGTGAAAGTACAGCCTCGCTACTCTTTCTTGTTTCGTGATGTTGTGAAAAACTACACTAAAACATCTTTAAAAATACAACTACGTCTTTATAAACACCACTACAACTTCATGAACAAATATCAAGAGGACCGATCTCCAGTTCTGAATAATTCACAAAACTTTTTGCTCAGTTAGAAAAAAATTAAAATGGAAAATAAAATGCTTCTACACACATCAGTTAATACAATCTGGAATGTTTTTGGTGTTTCTCTCTGGTGTTTTGCCAAATTTCAGCTATTAAAAATGTCTTTGGAAAAAGTCCCACTATCACAAAATCATCACACCAAAACCCATTTGACACATAGAAAATTTCCCAAAATAGAAAGAAAAGCTGTAGCATTTGTCCTGGAGAGGGAGCTGGTGGAATCAAGAGGCTGAAGGTTAGGATCCATGTCATGGCAGTGTTCGCAGAAGGCAGGCAGGTAACGCGACATGACACACTGCTGAGATCTTCCCACCCATGGATTTTTGCTGGTGTTTCTGGTGTGTCTCAAGGACTGGAGAAGGGAGGCAGATTGGTCCGCTGGGTGGTAGCGTGTCCTCTGTCTGGGGCTGCTGGTCTACAACTGAGATGTGGTGCTGAGGGAGGGTACAGCAAATGGGGGGGGGGGGAATTTAAGAAGTGGCAGGGCGTTTCTGTTCATGACCTAGACACTCCCTTGTTGCTCCCCTAATCCAAAGCAAGTGTCAAACAAGAGAGCTTGTGTCAGCTGACTTCTCCACAAGAAGTGGAGTTTCAAAGTCAGGACCGTACAGCAAATGGTGAAGTCAGACATAATGAGGTCATGTGATCAACGGATGCGGCATGATCGCTCATATCATGTGACATGCTGAAGTAAGAGCCAGAACGGGAACTAGGACAGGTTTGTAGTGAGGTGACAGAGATGACCAGCTGGAACATGATGCCGCCAAGCTGCAGTGCTGGGGAGGGCATTGATGTGATGACTGGCACGGAGGAGGGGACAGAGGAGGGGCTGTGTGCAAAACGGCACACTTAACTGACGGCAGGCAAAATTAAATAAATCATTAAATTAAATAAAACAGATTGTGATTTTAATAAGGCCGGGAACACACACACATACACACAGGCCGACACAAAAAGACAGATAGACACAAACAAACACAGATTAGGTATTAATATCTTTCAAGTGACTCTCCATTCATGCCCTTTGGAAAAATCCTAATCCTGACATGATAACTTTAACCCCTACCCAGCCATGACCTTAACCATAGGTAACCAAAATACGAAATTTTGGCATTTTTACTTTTTTGATTGCATTCACAGATCTTTGAGGGGACCTGAAAATTGGTCGCCACAACGTCAAAAAAAATAATTTTTTTTTATCATATTGTGAGGGACATTTGGTCTCTACAATGTAATATAAACCTAATTCTCTCTCTCTCTCACACACACACACACACACACACACACACACACACACACACACATAGGGGAAGCAGGTACAGTAAATGGACATTCATGGGAATTTACACACATCTGTGTCTCCATGTGACTGATATGAGGGTGAGTGTATGTGTGTGTGATGGAGTAAGAGTAGCATTCCGGGGCATGGCGGCGTGTCTCACTCTGGGGTGATCTCGGTCTCCTGGTGCACCACCACCCTGGTGACGGACATGTCTGGGTGCTGCTCCTTCGCCTCCTTTATGGCCTGAGCGAGAGCCTGGGGGGTGGGTGGGGACAGTCAGGACCAGGGCTGGGGGAGGGCTCTCGTCCACACACAGTCACAGGATGCCCCCCCCCCCACACACACACACACTTTTGTATTCATATCTTTGTAGGGACTCTCCATTCATGTCTATCGGAAGAACCCTAATCCCCACTATAACAACCTTAACCCCTACCCTGCTCTAACCTTAACCATAAGTAACCAAGCAATTACAAGACTTGACATTTTTAGATTTTTTAGATTGCGATTTGGTCTCCATAATGCAATATATACATGCCTCCCTCTGCATACACACAAACACACACGGATCATGTTGCCGGCACTCACACATACTCTTGGTTAGACCACCACCCTCACTGATATATTCTTATTGAGATATGAGCTCAGTACATACTGGCTTTTGTGCAATGTTACTGTAATGTTGTTTCAATGGATTTACAGAGCACCAGGCATGAATAGCTGCATCTGGCTTTCCTGATAGATCAAAGCTCACTTTGTCATGGTCGATCTCCATGTCTCCAGTGATGACGATCCTCTTCTCGATGCGCGTCTCTGAGATGCCACCTTTCACCGTCTATGGGATAGAAAAAGCTCCCATAATTGCAGGCAAACCTCACTGTGGTTCTCATTAGTGCCACTAGAGGCGCCAGAGCACCTATTACAATGTTGCCACGGCGATCAGAAATCAATACCTTGGTGATCTGGGTGGTGGTTGTGGTGCAGACCGTGTCGGAGCTAATTGTCTGGGCACTCAGCAGAATACCGCCGTCTCGGTCCAGAACATTATCTCCTGTCTGCGGTGAAGAAGGACGTCACTGGAATGGGTCTGCAACACTTGAATTGTGCACTAGGTGGCAGCCAAGGGCAAAAACGGCCCCATCCCAATGGGGGCACGTTCATAAAAAAAAGTGTACCTCCATCGAGTAGGACAGTGCTTCCAAAAATAGGTGAGCTAAATTCAGTCTGAAGCATGTGTCCATGTTCATGGGTGAGGAAGGTTATTGGAGGTTATGTTTTTGAAATGTAGAGAAATGCCTACAAGGTGTGATGTGTAAGAGAAATGCAGTGATGCAAGAGGAACATATTTTTGTCGCTGTTCGTGTATCAAGTCACTAACAATTGATTGTTAGCTTATATTTAATTAAAAGAAGAATTTCTGCATAAAGGTTTTGATCCTGATTAGTTCTTTGATCGCATTTGTATCCCTGGTGTTATACATCTGTCAGGATTATGCAGAGTTCTGCATTCAGCAATACTTTTTAGAAATACACTGTCAAAAAAATTCACAACTCACAAATTTAAATGTACACTGTAAAATATTCATGCAGCTCACTTTTGGAACTATTGCTTACAGGTTCTACATCGCTTTCAAATGCATGCAGCACCTACTAAAAATGTATAAATGTGTTGCATTAGAGGACCACCGGAGATCACACCACCATTGGCAATCAGTCCCCACATTTCTTCACATCCACATTGAAATGAGGCACAATGTGTATCACATGACATGCTGTAAATGGCTGATTCTTGTTTGAAAGTGGAGACTACAAGATAGAGACACAGCACTTACCTGTGGTGATTCATAGGTGATGGTCCTGGTCTCTGTGTGCACAATAGGGACTTCCTTTGTTGTGGCATCACCACGGATGTTGTTGGTGATGTCGGAGATGGTGACAGTTTGCATCTTCTTCACCAGGGGTGACTGCAGGGTGACAGGTACACAGACACACAGATACACGCACACATATACACACAGACATACACACACACACACATACACACACACACACACACAAACACTGAGAATCGGGACTCAGAATACTTAGCCCAGATGGCTTCCAGGGCAAGGTGTGTCAAGACTCCTTTGATGACATTTACCCCGTCTCCACCAATGTGGTGCTGGGTTTTCCCCAATCTGGAACTGGTTCTGTGCATTTCCACTGCAAAAATTTGGCTCCAACACAGCTCTACGGAAAAGCTGCTCTCAGAACTTGGAACTGTAACGTCAGTAGAAGTGGGACTGGCTTTGATTGATACCCGATATAATTTTGTCTAATATCATTGGTACCAGCATTAAACAATTTTCCAGTGCTTATTAAGGGAATAATGTTACACTCTTATTTTATTCTGTGGAAAATGAAAGATTTGCAGGCCAGATTTAATAATGAATTAAAAATATGTTGCAGGTCGAATAAATAAAATATTGTGGCGCTTGAGTCACGAGCAAAGTTACATTTTTAGCAGACTCTTAAAAGGACAGCGGTAAAACAGCAACTGAGAAAACACTGACATACACAAACTGAGGAGAAATACAGCCTTTAAGGAGATAAAAGTGAATACAGACAAAAGAAACAGAGTGCAATGAGTCAAACTCTGAAAACTACAAAACCTTTTCTCTCCTTAAAGGCTAACTTGTTTAGTTTGGCAGCTCATAAAAACTTTAAATCCAAAACAGATCCAAAAAAAAAAAAAACAGAAATTGGTGAAAAATATAACGGATTTCATATGGACCTATACTTTACTCTCACTTCCATCATTGTACCGTTACCGTTCTGTTCTTTTTTTAAACCAGTGGAAACACAGGCCGGTTCTCAAAAGATACCAAAATCGAGATCTAGCCCAGCACCAGTACCAGCACCTGCTCCTCAAACCACATCAAATGACAATCTCAGATCCCTACTCCTCGGGCAGATATAGAAGAGCACAGGAGCACACTGGACTTTCCTATGACAGAAGGAGACAATCAGGGACTCAGCAGCTTACAGAAATCCTCAAGCAAGCCACTGCTGATGCCACCAGAGCATGAGAATCAGATCAGCATCACGAGTTCAGTTGAATATTGACAGGTGAGACAGTAATGAATATCGATACATGAAATTAACTGATACAATTTCCTCTCTGTCTGAAGCCTATATAGGGGGTCCTCGAACCACTGTCTGCCAATACAGCTGTGCTTGGTGTAGGGGATTTTGCTAACAGAGCCCGTAAATGTCAGTGAATATTTCCCTTAATCAATACAAGGCTGTGTATCCAGTCCTGAAAATCTTATCAAAATCCAAAAAGATTTAGGGTACTTTTTCACCGCATCTGCTACCATACTTTTGGTATGGTACTTTTGGTAATTTTCCTTTTCCACTGACTTCCGGTCGAGTACCAGTACCAAAAGTTTCAGAACCTAAAGTACCTGCTGGGGTACTTTTTTGGTACTTCAGTACTTTGGGGTGGGACTACAAAATGTTGAAAAAGAATAATCTTGAAAAGGAATAATCATTAAAACTGCAAAGTTCACAATTTTTTTTTCCAATGTCAGAGTAAACATGTTCATTGAAATTTAACACCCCTGCGTTATGTCTGGACAGTATGAAAGTATGAAAAAGTCTGATCTCAACCAAGTTATTGTAGTCCTTGCGAGAACGACATGTGCGTAACATGGGATATTGGCATTAAAATCGCACACCACTCTAGCTACCAAAAGTACGGTACCTGGTGTGGTGGAAAAGCACCCTTATTTGTTCATCAAATATACCATCCAGTCACAGCAACATTGTAACTGAGCTGTGGTAACTGCCTGGGTGTCCTGCTACTATCTGTTGTTCAGTGTTATCAAGACAACAGTTTAATTTAGATATTGTCATTATGGGTCTGCATATGATTTGATGTATATGCCATAAATCCTTCCTGGGTATTAATCATAAAAAGGCAAATGCTTGGAGTATCAGGCAGCTGAGATACAGCATTATGCCAAGAGCCCCACTGTAGTGATTACAGTGAACTACATACAGTTTGTAAAGCTTTAGCAAAACAGAAACAGGGAGTAAAGGACAGTATCCTCCTCATCATGTCCAACCATGCAGTTACACGAGGCATCAGAATGAGCTCAACTGACCAAACTTCATTATAGCCATAAGAAAGACCAACTTGTACCATAAAATATATTTTACAGTAACATTTATTAGTTACTTCTCCTTTCTTTGCATTCCCTTACAGTCAATAACAGGATAAAAACAAGCGGTGCTTAAACGTCCAAATGAGGGGACGGGTTAAGACAATCCTCTTCTTTATAAAGACCTACACCACCGGGCATTGGTCCCGCAGAAAGAAAGAGCACCGAGCAACCTTTGTGTGACACGCATGTAGATTTCATGTCCATGCCAAGTTGTCTCAGGCTCATGTTAAGAGGAACCAGCATGTCTTACAGTAAGTGTGACAGACATTCAGCTTGCAGCTTACATAGTGTTGGTAATGGTAAGCAAGGCTTCCCTATAGTTGCTTCTCAGAGCCAAGGCAGAATATTCCAGAAAAGAGCCATAATGAACCAAAGCTTACACAGGGTCTACTGCAAATAAATGGCAAGCAAAAGGCATCAAGGATATCGCGAGTAGTGGAATAGTTACTCATGACGCGGCCTGTACTATTATGACACAGTCAAACCAGTTTACTTGCAAGTTATGATTCTAAACGAGATAACTGCAACAAAACATTAGCCATTGACAGAGCCATTAATTGCATAGCTTCCTGGTTCTGAGTGCAAAAGCTGCTTTGAATTCCCCCAAAGGTTACATGTAGACTACACATGTAAATGAGACCAGGTCTGAGTGTGTGTGCAACATCATCACATTGTCTGTCACAGTACCATATTCTCCTCCAGAGAAACCTTTTCCATGGAAGGCCTGAGAAAGCTGACAACCATGTTGATAGGTTTGGAAGGGATGTCTACTGAAGGAGCAGAACTTCTTCAGATAAAGACCAGCCACCAAAGAGTGACGGTCATCAGCAGCAGGCAAGACAGCAGGAAGGAGACCCGCGGCCGCTGCAGCATGACGGGGTATTGGCAGGCCTTGGCCGTCTGCTTGCTGTCATCCAGAATGGCAACTGCCACTTTTGAAGAGCGCGTCTCTTCTTCTTCTGCCTCCTCTTCCTCATCATCGTCCTGGGCGCTCTCCCGTGGGACCGGTGAAATCCCCTGCAGAGGTCTCTGCTTGGCACCCCGTGTTAGAAGAGTCTGCCCAACGGGCTGCGTCCAGTAGCAGATCAACAGACACAGAGAGGCGTGAGGAGCAGGAGGGCAGCAGGCGGTTTGGGGTAATCTGGGGAAGTGGGGTGTGCAAAGATTGAGGTGTGGTCTTACTACTGGGCGGTAGAAGGCTTAGCGCACGTTAAATCAACTTTTCTCTCCATCCCTTGAAGTTCAAACTTCAAGCTCATTCCTACTGCTTGAGCATCACTATCCTTCAGTTCACTAATAGTTGCGGAAATTAAGCAGTTAATAGTCTTGAAATCATCATAGACAGCCAGTTGCCAGGTGACGTCTTCAAGTTCACTGATTGGATGTTGGACGAGTGCGTCTTATAGCCATGGTAACCAGCAGCTCTGTAATGGGCTGTGTCCAAGTGGTTAGTGTGCTGCAAAACGCATCCGTGCTTAGTATGGTCCAACCTGGACTGACCCAATCGTGCACACAGTGGTTCCGCCAGGCTGCAAGCTCTTTATGGGGTTGATGCAGCATAATAGTTCATTTTATTTTTGGCTAGGGATGAATAGCATGATACTGTTGGGTGTTTTTTGGGGACTGGATCCTTCCACATGGCTGGTTTGGTCTGCAAGGTGGAGCAGCAGTGGAGATCTTTGGCAAAACTCCTCAGGAGACAGGAGAGACACTGTAAAAACCCACCTGTTTGGACTGGCGGAATCACTGGGCACCCGTGCCATAACTGACGCCAGAGCACACAGCTCTGCGCCTGGCCTGGGGGTCTGGCCTGGGGGTTTGGCCCTGACCGGTGCTCGAGCACGTCCAGCAAACAGCAGCGAAGGTGGCGAGGCTCCTTAGCCAGGGGACGAGCTGGAGCAGCGTCTGGTTCACGGTTTTCACAGAACTCCACTCTGGAACGTTCCGGCTCCGTGCTTCGCCATGCAGAGCTGTGGCACTTATCACGGCACACTGGACGGGCTCCAGGTCATGGGGTTTTGGGGTCACGGGCTCCGTGTGTCCGAATCGATCAGGCTAGCAGTGTCGCCAAGCAACGGAGGGAGAGAACATGAAACCTGAGGTAGTGTGACACTTACAGCCACCCAGGCACCCGATACCCAGCCCCTGGCCACCTGCCCCACTGCTGTGCCAGCTTCACGGGGGAGGACTCACACTGTGTATATCTGCCTGAGAGTCTTTGCACACCCCCTGTTTGGGGCCAGGGTGCAGGGGGAAGAGAGGGAAAGAGATAGAAAGTGAGGTAGAGACATAGAGATAAGGAGAGAGAAGACGAGACAGATATTCATGGAGTGAGAGAAAGTGGGAGAAGGAGAGAGAGAGGGTGCTGTGGAGCTCTGGCTGGGGCCTGTTTGATCACTCCTTTCTTCCGTATCTCTCTTTTTTCCCTCTCTCTTTTCCTTCTCTCTTCACCAACAGAAGTCAGACGCCTATTACTGCCATGCAGCTCTGTGTGAGGTCAAAGCAGCCATGCCGTCTACTCAAAGCAGCCAAACGCGGAGGCAGGGTGGGCAGTGCGTGTGGCCTGGGGGGGTGGGGGGGTGGGTAGAGCCGAGCGTCAGTCCTGTGAGTGATGGAGGCCACGCCAGAGCAGCCTGCCATCATCGCTCGCTTTCTTTACCACAAAGAAAGGAGCGGCTGCTCTCAACGGCAAACAGGCTTTACCTGTGCAACAGCTACACCTGCCACTGCTGTGCCAGCCGGCAGGAGGCTGGAGGTCTTCACCTGCACACACACACACAGAGAAGCTTTTCTCCTGGACACACACCTGTGTGCGGGTGCACGCACACACACACGCACGCACACACACACACACGCACATGCACACACACACACACACACACACACCTGTGTGCGGGTGCACGCACACACACACGCACGCACACACACACACACGCACATGCACACACACGCACACACACACTCCTTCCCTGGTCAACTGCGATAAACTAATAAATAAACCAACATGTTCCAACATCCCCTCCATAATTATCAGCCTTATTACTGAGAAATGGTTACCGATTAATATAATGAACGCTGTCTAGATTAGCAAATGCAAGTGGACCAGATGTCCCAATCTCTACATTAAGGTTAGCCGACCATGGCCGGATAAAGTTCCTGCCAATAAACTCCCCACATGGCTCAAGTTTCCCATTTTCTGGGATTAGACAAGCGAGAGACACCAGCTGCTGACATACCGGAGAGAGGAACTTCCAGGTAGGAGTGACCAGAACACCACTGAGATTTAATGGTGCGTGTCTGTTTACATTTTAACTGGCACGGCTAAAACGCTGCATGTCTGTTTGCACTCCAACCCCATGGAACAAGTGCTTTGTGTTGATTTATATCCAAGGCAGTCAAACGAAATGCTGTCTCCCTGAACCTGACGGCACCTGGGTGCAAAAACTAAAAAACACACCATATGCAAATAAATCATCAAATATTCTTATTCCCTTTAACACTAACCTTGTCCATTTAAAGAGATGCTATTTCGACTTCACCAATCACAGCCATGTGAACATCTGCCATAAAATTGTGGGTATCAAAACCTGTCCATTATCAAAAAGCACAGCCAGTGACGGGTGTGAGGAGCAGCAGGTATGCAGAGGGAGGGCCAGGTGCTGCACAAGAGCAAGCCCCTTCCATCTGCTGGGGTAGATGGAAGTGTTAGAGCGCCCCCAAGAGGCAGGCATTCTCACCCCATTGGCACTCGGCTGCAGCTGCCCGTTGATGGTGATGGAACGGAAGGGCGACTGACTGGACAGGCGCTTGTCCCACTCGCTGGGCCGCTGCTCCGGCATGGCCTCCATGAAGCTGCGCTTCAGCTCGCTGATGCTGGCGTGGTGTCTCATCAGCTCGCCCTGCGTCTTGTCCACATCCTAGGGGGTGGGGGAGGGGCCAAGGACGGCAGACGGAGCGAGGAGTCAGAAGGCATCACCGCGGCTCCACCGTTGGCCTAGAGGCCAGGAGTTATAAGCCGTACCCATTCCTCCGAATTTCCAATGATATAGGAGTGATGGAAAAGAAAGACGTATCCAATACAGTCTACTCAAATGAATCTTGCAAATCTCAGACACAAGCTTTTATCCACATATGGATAGCAGGACCAGATTAGCCAAACAGGACAGAATGATACAGAGTGGACAGTCAGTCAGACAAAAACAGGAGTCAACCAGACAGACGACGGACAGGGGCCTGCATGGCAAGGAAGTATGAGCGACACAGCGTGTAACCCACAGAGGGATATTAAGATCGGAATAGGCCTGACACTTAGGGGCACATACACCATATCGCGGTGTGTATGTGCCAACAAGCACAAGGATCTAAGACACAGAGACTGAAGAAACACAAGGCTAAGAGGTATGAACATAAGCAGGCACCAAGAATCAGGGGTTATGTTAGCTATTAAAGATGGAGATGGAGCTGTCAGATGGAACAAGCCAGCAGTCAGCCATCGCACACACACAGAGCATGCACCACAACAGCAGACACAGAGTGTATACAAACCTCCAACATTAAATTGCTATGGCGGATATAAATAGTTTCACCCTCTATTTTCTTAGCTCTTTTCTGTGAAAAACAAAAAGAAGGCAACAGTTGGTCTTTTCAGTCTGCCATCTAATCGCTTTTATGGCCATTGTGTGGCACTGTAACATTATGAATGCACGACTGGAGAAACCACACATCATCTGTAGACGGTGCAAGCAGCATGATCAAGGTGCAAGATGACTGGGATCCCAGAGAACCGCACAGCAGGATAAGGGGTAAGCGGCGTACTGGTCAGGCACCCGTCCAGGTGGCCAATGAGAAGCGATTCAGCAGGCAAACTCAGGATGTCGGGGAAGGCAAGGCAGGCACAAAATGTGATGATACGTCTTATTGCCTTGTGGAAAATCAGTCATTTAACATCAACCAGGAAGTTGCATATCAGACGGATTTAGAAACTGAATGCCCATTCATCCATCTATCCTTCATTCACCTACGCAGTACAGGGTCTTGGGGATACTGACTGCATTATATCAAGTTAAATACCCATCAAATCTAGCCTTTGAATCATTTGAGTTTTAAATGATTGGTTTAAAAAACCAAGAATAAAAGAACTGGCAGTGCACAAATCCCACACTTAATGCACTCGTTACCACTTCAAAAACCAGACGACAGCGGCCCGCATGGCTGGAGCAAAGATATGAGCTGCATGTATTGACATGAAATATGGATCAGCCAGCCTGTGGCTGACCAAGCGACGCACAGACCTGTGATACACAAAACCTGTTCGGGGAGGAGACGTCGAAAATGAAGCAGGACAAACTAACAGCAAAAACAAAAGAAATAAGCAACTACTCCTAAAGCACAGGTTTGTTTTTGGTAAAAACGGCCCCCAAAAAGACTCCACTGAACCACACGTTCAGCAATCCCAGCGTGAGGATGAAGACCAGTGCCCCGAAGAGTGTGATCTGACCTTTCTCATGCGCACTGGTTCCGTCTCGGGCCTTGGCAGCTGCTGCACCCACAGAAAGGGGAGAAAGAGAAGCTGGTTAGGGGTCAAACACCCAGCAGGCCCCGGGTAGCATTACAAACACGAGCCTTGGCATCAGCTTCTCTCAGGTGGCATTTAAAACGCATGTGTGACCTTACGAAAGTGCGAAAGTGGTTTACATAAGAACATGAGAAATTTACAAACAAGAGGAGGCCATTCGGCCCATCAAGCTCGTTTGGGGAGAACTTTAATAGCTCAGCGTTTTTAAAATCTCTGACTTAAAGGAACCCAGGGTTGTAGCTTGCACTACACTAACAGGAAGACTATTCCATACTCTAACTACACACTGTTTGTCAAGATGCGTCCCACTGAATCCCGTAGCTAATGAACTACCAGCCCTACCGTGCATGAGAAGTGCTGTGAGAATGTCTCTAGTCACTTACAGGTTTGCTAAATGATTTACACCCCCACACGCCCTCCCCCAGAAGCCAAGCAGCACACACCTGGGCTGGGGTCTCCCTCATGGGAGCTGCGGTCTTGGGGGTCTCTCTCCTCTCGCGTCGTGACATTGCTTGTGGCTGCACACACACAAGCACATCAGCTACTGTATGGGCCACTGATGGGCACCACAGTACGAGCCTAACTGGCTTTTGCTTCCTGCTGTATAGGTTGTGCTTGGTTTTGTGTTGTGGTGCACAGTACAGCCCTGTACCTATGGGTCATATGTTCCAAGACCTATTGCAGATGGCAAAAACTGCGGAAAATAGCGAACCATCCGCAAACGCCACATATAATGTGGTTTTCATGTGCATATATACGATAATCTTCAACTGATAAATTATACACAGTAGGACGTTATCAACATTAAATACAGTAATAATAAGGTACATTATTATACAGCACTGTACTCTCTCTCTAGGAAGGAAGGGATTCTGACCTTTTAGCCTAATTCTGAAGAGATGATAGCGGAATGAAAAAATATCATGTATCAAGGGATAATAGAGCAATGAAAATCATGCTTTTTATACCCCTCAACGGACAAAGGAGCAATGAAAAACCACAGGCTATTGTTACACATTTTGCAATGAAAAATTTTGTATCATGTACCTGTACATGACCCTATAACGAGAAAATTCTATTCGTTAAAAAATATCTATCCTAATGTGGGGACTCACTGGCTTGCACCCTGTACTTGCTTGGCACGCGTTTTTCACACTGTGGTAACCCACAGGTAACTGAAACTGCGGATTTGGGGGTCCCACTGTACTGTATAATGAGTGTAGGTGTGGGTACTTGTGCATTATGGTACCTTGGCCTCTCGCAGCAGCTCTGCTTTGGGGGACTCTGCCGTGTGGTATCCCTTCCTCATCTCTGCCCGTCTGTCCTCCAGGCGGTTGGGGCGACGGCTGGGGGTAGGAGCTACCCAGTGATCAGCACGTGGGGTTGACGGCGACGTGGCTTTCTCCCCAAGGGAGACTGGCGACACTGGAGACATGATGGGGGCGCTGACAGGACGGGCATTCCGATCTGGAGTCTTCACCACTGCTGTAGGTCAGAGATCAAGGCCCAGGGGTCAGAGATTGAAGCTACACAGCACGTAGTATGATATATGATGTATGATATTACAGTGTAGTTCTACAAATGGACACAAGGGGGTCCCCCATCAGGGGAGGTTCCAATAGTGTAAATGAATCATCCTGCCGCAGAGCTGCAGAGAGCAGGGACGTAGAGGTGGAAGCGTCCTGCTCGCAGGACCTCTTTGAGCTATAGGATGCGCAGAATCAGACGAAGGCCCCCATGTGAGTCACAGCCCCAAAGCGACCCACTCCCGCACCACAAGCTGCTGTAGCCAGGCCCATATTTCAAAACAAGCCATTTTTCCCCCTCTGCAGGAAGAAGTTTGTCTTTGATTTTTCAAGGAGCTCAAAAAGCATTGTGGTCAAGCTGGGAGGCTGCAGATGGTTTTAGCGGTTAGCATCATGCTGCTTCACAAAATGGCTATCAGGCTGCCGCTGTGCGTGGCGATTAGCAGAAAGCTACTCCGTTTAGCCATCAACGTCGTGCTGGTCATCACAGTACTCAGTGTCTGTTGGTCCACATCGTGGTTCATGGTTCCAAATGCCAGAGAGGGACGGACTAACCAACATGACGGTTAACGGATCACTGCTCAACATAGCATTTAGCATCTGCTCCTCTATAGTGTCGTTACCAACACTCCGCTCAGCATGATGTTTACCGGATCACTGCTCATCACAGCAGCTAGCAATCCACTGCTCAACATGGTATAGAGTCTCACACTGCTCAAAACAGTGTTTATAGTTGCTACTGCAAATGGCACTTAGTGGGTCACTACTGCCTTGTTAGCCATTAGCAAAGCTTTGCTCGACATGGTGGTTAGCAATCTACCTGGACTTTGGAGGATGTAGTCCAGCAAAATAAACCAGTCTTCTGATTCTCTGAGGTTTGGCAACGTAAGCATCCAGTCAGCGACTGACTGTGTCATCCTCGGCACCTCCACCTGATCCTGCAGTTCCTGTGTGGACTCCTCCAGCCGGAATGCGGGGTCTAACGTGGGTACTGCTTCTGGGTCGCCCATCACCCAGCCAACCCGTTTGTATGGGTGGCGTTCCACTCTCCTTAGCCTTACCTGGGCAGAGGAGAAGACCCCCGGCTGCACACCAAGAGACCCCACTGATGAAAACAGAGTGACCACAAGTTACCAAAGCACCCTAACCGGACACATGACTTCAGGAGGCAGGAAGGCCCTCTAAAGGGTGTCACAGCTCACTGATGAAGCCACTGGCAATAAAGTCACACACACTGAGCAGCTGAGCGTGCCAGACAGCTCAAGATGTTAGTGGTGTTCTGCTTATTTGAGGGGGCCATACCTGGAGGGGGCGGGGCGGTCTTTATGGGGGCACGGTCCAGCAGTTCAAACCAATTGTCCTCCTTCTTTGCCTGCGTCTGCAGCTGCCCTGCCAATTTCAGACGAGTCATTTCCCTGACATCCCTCTCGTAGCCCCCCCCACTGGTCTCACGCTGTTCAGTTCCACCAAGGGCAGTGCCATGAACACCATGGGTCACAGGGACCCACCAGGCTGCTGCTCCAGGAACGAGCTGCACTCCAATCGTCAACTACAGAGAGAAGCTTCTTAAGCATTCCCATCCGACTGCATACGCCTATTCACCCGGGGAGCTGTCACTTGTCACCGGGGGGAGCTGTGATGACATTCCATCAAACACAAACAAAGGGTTTGGTCCTTATCTGGTGCATTATCTATTTTGTCCTCTTATCTACTGCATAAGGTTTGTGCTTGACGGACATTTGAGAAAAACACATTAAAATGTATAGCTGAGAAAGGAATGAAGAGGAAGACTAAAGACTATAACAAGGTGAGCAGCACTTGGGGTTCATTCACACCCAAACTAACCTAAAATACACGCATAAAATTTTGAATAAGCTGAACAGTTGTTTTCTAGGTGTTTCAAGCTGAGTATTGAAGCATTGAAGGAGGGTGAGTGACAGCTTAGTCTTGTCCGAGGAGCTGAGATCATTGTAAGAGGGCCGTGCTGAGCTCCGTCTTGCTGGGCCTCTTCACAGCTCAACAACGCAGGACATGTACAGAACCGTGACACTGCGCTGCACTTATCTGTGACATAAGGTGGGAGTCACATGTAGAACAAAGCACTGGACAGAGCACCGCTGTGAATGTGACAGAGAGATGGTGGCAGATGGGGGTTTTCTGTGATCCCACAATGCGAAAGACAAGTGTCTCTGAGAGACTGGCAGAAAGACCAGACCCACAGTGGAGCAAAAGTACCTGCGAGTGCAACGCTGAAGAACAATCATAAGCATGAGAAAAGGGAAGAAGGATATCGATCCGTCAATAAAATGCAAAGAAGTGTCAGTGGATGCAAAAATATAAGGATTACATGTGAAGGAAGGCAGCAGCCCCATACCCTCTACTAGACAAGCATGGAAGATGGATGGTTAGAAACGTGTTGAGCTGTCAGAAGCTCAGGCTGGCTGGCCAGGCAGTAAAATGTAACATTTCACATACAGAAACGCTAAGCTTACTTTACAAGCAAATACCAGAACAAAAGCTTTCTCAAAAACATTTTCGGTCTGTTTTGGGTTTTAAATCCTTCTCCTCCAGAACAAACAGTCTTATTTCCTGTTTTTCCTGTTTATTTTCTTTATGTATAGGTCGTGCTGATCCTGTCCATCCCCGGTGCCTGACAGTCACCGTCCAGTCCCAGTCACACAGCTTATTATCCTGCCCCAAACTGTGCTCTCTTTTGGGCGTTCCGTGCAGTCAGGGTTTAGTTGAAATTGGTCAGATTCTAGAAGCATCATTTTTTCATCAGCACAAACATGCATACCTTCGTCAAGGCTGCGTGATGCCCTCTTGCTTGCAGAGCGCTGGAATAGGGGGGCAGGCCTGTCAATCATGGAGCTAGCCTGACGTGTCTGGGCCTGGGTTCGCCCACTGTAACGAAACTTGGAGCCCAAGGCCAGGAACCTCCGGGGTGTGGTGGCTGCTTCTGTAGAAGAGAGTCTGTAGACAGAGACAGTCCATTCTAATCATCATCAACGAGATGACACCTATAGCACGTACACATCATCATTATGGAGATGACACCAGCAACTAGGGGTGTAATGGTACACATAAATCACGGTTCGGTAAGTACCTCGGTTTTGAAGTCACGGTTTGGTACATTTTCGGTACAGCGCGTTTAAAAGAAACAAAACATAAATTGCTTCTTTCTCTTTATTAAACAGTGGTTTACTGAACAAAGCATGACTGTCTTTCTTAAATAAAAAGTCTCTGTCAATACTGCTGCAACCCACTAATACAAAACTATGTACAAGATACATCTTCTGGATGCACTGGGACGCATCATCAATGATGTAACCTGGCGTCACTGGGTGTTTCGGCTCTCAACATGAGACGCCCTCACCCAGGCGACCCAGCTGAGGTTGATCAGACCCCAGCTTGGGTCCCAGCAGCAACCGCCCATGGATCAGCCCTCTTCATCCACAGCCACCTTGTGGTCTTCTCTGCGGCTTCGCATATGGATCGGATGGCCCTCGTCTTAGCCACTCCTGTTAGGCCCAGTTGGTTAAGGACTTTGCAGAGTGAGTGTCCTGCAAAACCTCTACAGCCCCCTCTATTGGCTCACAGTGAGTCTTCCAGCCCCCTTCCCGGCACATCTCCACCAGCCCCCTCCCTGGCACGTCTCCACCAGCCCCCTCCCCGGCACGTCTCCACCAGCTCCTGGTACTTTGTGCATTTTCTTTCATTTGCTTCATCCATCCGCTCTTCCCAGGGCACTGTGAGTTCGAGCACAATCAGCTGTTTTGTTGCCTCGGAGATGATTATATCTGGCCGGAGTGATGTCGTAGCAATATGCTGAGGGAACTCCAGCTGCTTCCCCAGGTCGGCTT